TTTTTTATGATTTTGAGTTTTGTTCCACATTGTTCTCCCACTCATCCAGGATCTCCTGCATCAATGCCCTTCTGAGTGGTTGACAGTGGTAGCCAGGCACCATCTAGTTCTTCTGGTCTCATGGTCATATAGGCTGAGGATTGCATGGTCTACTAGTCTCTTGGACTAATTGTTTCCATGTGTCTTTGGTTTTCTTCATTCTTCTTTGTTCTGGACAAGGAGAGATCCATCATTGCAACTAGATAGCCACTTGCAAGCTTTTAAGATCCCAGTTGCTACTCACCAAAGTAGAATGTGGAACAATGTTTTTGTGTAGTGTGTTATGCCAACTGAGCTTTATGTCCCCTGGGACTATGGTCCTGAGCTCATAGGTCTGACTTCCTCCAAGTAGCTGGCTGTGGCTAAGAAGTCACCACAACCTCATCCCTTCTCAGTTCTACTATATACATGGACATTCTTACAGATTATACAAATACGATTGTAGAAATATTGTCTGCCAACCCTGTATATGATTATGGGCACACTCTCCCATCTAGACATACGTGATTGTTCAGCCTGTCTACCCATCCATCCACCCATAGATCAATGTTTGCCATCACTGACAATGCCTGTATGTGCAAAAGGGTTCATCTTTGTTGTCTGTATCTCCCATGTACCTCTCTATGTCTTCCTTTTGCTCAAAGCCACTGTGTTAATTATGGACATTTGGTACCTTGCTCTTCCCTTCACCCAAATCAATACTTGTCTCTACCTATCTAACAGGGTTTCCTCCCCTCCCACTCCTGGTAACCAAAAAAGAAAGTTTTGTTCCATATATAAACCTTTCCTTGACTTTTTACAATAGCAGACTAATACAATATTTGTCCTTCTGTGATTTACTTATTTCACTCAACATAATGTCCTCCAAGTTCATCTAAGTGATGTGGTGTTTTGCAGATTCTACATTATTCTTTAGGGTTGATAGTGTTCCATTGTGTGCATGTACCATAGTTTGGATGTCCATTCTTCTGTTGATGGGCATGTGGGTTGTTTCCATCTTCTTACTATTGTAAATAGTGTTGTGATAAACATGTGTGTGCATACATCCATTCTTGACCTGACTCTCATTCTTTAGGATATATACCTAGTAATGGAATGGCTGGGTCAAATGGTATTTCTAATTCCAACTTTTCAAGGAATCACCATACTGCTTTCCACAGTGGTTGGATCATTTCACAGTCCCACCAGCAATCTCTCCACGTCCTTGCCAGCATTTGTTATTTTGTATCTTGTTGAACTTTGCTATTAGTGCTGGGGCAAGATGGTATGTCATGTTGTTTTGATTTGCATCTCTCTAGTGGCTAATGATTGTGAACATTTCTTCATGTGTTTGTTGGCCACCTGAATATCCTCTTCAGTGAAGTGTCTATTCATGTCTTCTGCCCACTTTTTAATTGGATTGTTGGTCTTTTTGTTGTTGAGGTGTTTTCTATAAATTTTGAGATAAGTCCCTTGTCAAATACGTTGTTGCCAAATATATTTTTCCCCATCTGTAGGTTTTCTTTTTATGCTTTTGGAGAAGTCATTGGAAGCACATAAAAATTTAATTTTTAGAAGGTCCCATTCATCTAGTTTCTCTTCTGCTGTTTGTGCATTTTGGGTTATGCTTGATAGTCTATTTATGCCATAAATTAGGGCCCCTAAATTTGCCCCTATTTTTTTCCTTGAGGAGCTTTATAGTTTTAGGTTTCACATTTAAGACTTTGATCCATCTGGAGTTAGTTTTTGTGTATGGTGTGAAGTACAGACTTGATTCATTTTTCTGCAAATGGATCTCCAGTTTTGCCAGGACCATTTGTTAAACAGACAATCTCTTCCCCATTTAACGGATTTCAGCCCTTTGTCAAAGATCAGCTGACCATGGGTTGATAAACCTATTTCTGGGTTCTCAGTTCTGTTCTACTGGTCTATGTGTCTGCTGTACCAGTGCCAGGCAGTTTTGACTACTGTGGCTGTATAGTAGGTTTTGAGATCTGGGAGTGTGAGATCTCCTACTTTGTTTTTCTTCTTCAGTAGTGTTTTGCTTATCCAAGGTCTCTTTCTTTTCCATATAAAATTAGTGATTGTTCTTTCCATATCCTTAAATAATGTTGAAGGGATCTGGATTGGGATTGCATTGAATGTATAGATTGCTTTGAGTATTATTGACATTTTCACAATGTTCAACCTTCCTATCCACGAGCATGGGATGTTCCTCCATTTATGTAGATCTCTTATGGGGAAATGGCAATGTCTTTTATGACCTAATCTCAGAAGCTGCATATTCATTTCTGTCTCTTCTGTTCACTAGAAGTGAGTCACTGAGTCCAGCCTACACTCAGGGGAAGTTAGCTCCATATCTTAAAAGATGGCATATCAAAGAATGTGTGGACATTATTTTAAAAGTGTCACAGAGGTTGATTGTCCCAGCCAAAACAATGAGGCTAGGTAATATACCTTACATCAGTCAGTCACTTCCGATTAGCTGTCCAGGGGACAGGGGAGGGGAGCCCAGCATTATAGGATTAGGTGGCTCCCATCAACCAAGGCAATCCTCTAGAGAAGGGCACAGGCATCGTCCACTAGCAGTGATACACATCAGCTTGGTCAAGGGCACCTGGATGGGGAACCAACTCATCACTTTGTTTCCTCACCTGTCCAATGGGGCTAATGCTAGCAACCTGCTTCCAAAGGGTGTTGTGGCTATTGATGGAGGTAATGAATGTGCCACATGGTGCTCCTGAGAGTACTGAGTGTGGGCTCATTGTTCCTGGAAGTGTGAGCACTGTTCCTTGTGGCTGGAGGCACTGACATGGCCCTCAAATCTGTTGCAGAATTACCTCCCCAGCCAGGAGGCCATGTCTCATAACCAGTTCATCAAGATGATGATCATCTTCTCCATCACCTTCATCACTGTCCTCATCCTAAAGGTGAGTGGTCTGGCCTGCCCCATGGCTCTGGCTGAGGCTGTGCAGTGTATGTGTTCGAGGGCAGGGAAGTGTGTCCTCTGCTGCTCCCTCCCTGCTTTTAGCTCCTTCCTCCAGCCCTCCCCATACTAGCTTCTTAGACCCTGCCTGGGATCCTCTGGGATATCTCATCTACAGAAAGTGGATCTACAAAGGATGCCCATACTCAGGTAGGTGTCAGAGAGTTAATGTATAACTCACAGAAGAATTAGAATGAGACAGATGTGGGTTTGAATCCCAGACTAGCTCTCACTAGCTGTGCTGTTGGTTCTCAGCAAGTCACTTCTCTAGGCCTCATGTTTCATCTTTATAAGGGGTATCATAAGTCTTGCTTATCATACCACTCATCTGTCAGTTTGTCATACTGTGGTGGTTTTTGTGTTGCTGTGATGCTGGAAGCTATGCCGCTGTATTTTAAATACCAGCAAGGTCACCCAAGACGGGCAATGGAGCTTCCAGACTAAGGCAAAGTGGGAAGAAAGATGGGGCCCTCCACTTCTCCAAAAACTGGCCACTGAAAATCTTATGAATAACACTGAATCATTGTCTGATATATTACTGGACAATATTATGACTAGCAGTGAAACATTGTCTGATACAATGCCTGAAGATAATTCCCTCAGGTTAGAAAGCACTCAAAATATGACTGGGAAAGAGTTGCCTCCACAAAGTAGAGGTGACCTTAATGATGTGAGTGGAGTAAAGCTTTTGGGACCTTCACTTGCTGGTAGGGCATGACTCAAAATGAGAAGAAACAGCTGCGAACATCCATTAATAATCATGACATGGGATGTACAATGTATGAATCTAGGAAAACTGGAAGTTGTCAAAAAATGAAATGGAGTGCATGGAGGTTGATATTCTAGGTATTAGTGAGCTGAACTGGACTGGTATTGGCCATTTTGAATTAGACAACCATGTGGTTCACTATACCATGAATGACAAATTAAAGAGGAATGGCATTATATTCATCATCAAAAAGAACATTTCAAGATCTATCCTGAAGTACAGTGCTGTCAGTGATAGGATAATATCCATACTTACTCACCATCCACTAAATGAAATTTAGATTTTTCACTAAAGCTAAAAATGAAGAAATTGAAGATTTTTACCAACTTCTGAAGTCTGAAATTGACCCAACATCCAATCAAGATGTATTGATAATTACTGATGATTGGAATGCAAAAGCAAAAAAGAGGCATTGGTAATTAGAAAATATGGCCTTGTGATAGAAATGACATTGGAGATCACATGATAGAATTTTGCAAGACCAATCACTTATTCATTGCAAATATCTTTTTTTAAACAACATAAATGGTGATTATACATGTGGACCTTGCCACATGGAATATACAGGAAACAAATTGACTACATCTGTGAAAGAAGTGATGGAGAAGCTCAGTGTCATCAGTCAGAACAAGGCCAGGAGCTGACTGTGGAACAGACCATCAATTGCTCATATGCAAGTTCAAATTGAAGCTAAAGAGAATTAAAACAAGTCCAAGAGAGCCAAAATGTGACCTTGATTATATCCCACCTGAATTTAGAGACCATCTGAAGAACAGATTTGACTCATTGAACACCAGCGACTGAAGATCAGAGGAGTTGTGGGATGACATCAAGAACATCATACATGAAGAATGCAAACAGTCATTAAAAAGACAGGAAAGGAAGAAAAGACCAAAATAGATGTCAGAAGAGACTCTGAAACTTGCTCTTGAATGGACAATAGCTAAAGTGAATGAAAGAAATGATATAAAAAAGAGCTAAATAGAAGATTTCAAAGTATTTTGGTTACCTAGTGCTGTCCTAACAGAAGATACCACAAATCAGATGGCTTGAACAAACAGGGATTTATTATCTTACAGTTTAAGAGGCTAGAAGTCAAAGTCCAAAGTGTCAGTCCTAGGGGCTGGGTGAAAACCCCTTGACCTTGGGCTTCAGCTCTGCCTCTTGCTCTTGGTCCACTGAAGCTGGAGGTGTCTCTTAACTCAGACAAGTAAATGGCACAGTCCCAAGATTATCAAACTACACGGCAAGCCACTAGTTCAAGTCCAGAAACAGTCCCAAGATTGGCAGGGCCAGCATGGCAGCTGCTGAATGAAGACTCAGCTACATGCAGGGTCCAACTGTTCCAAAAATCTCCAGAAATCTTTCTCAAAGCTTCTTCTTATATACTGGAAGCAGACTTCCAGTATATAAGTCTATATATATATATTGGTCCTTACAAGTGGACCAATAAGCAACATCACAATAAATGGAGAAAAGACTGAAGTTGTCAGCGATTTAATTTACTGGATGCACAATCAACACCCATGGAAGGAACAGTCAAAAAATCAGATGATGTACTGCACTGGGCTAATCTGCTGCAAAAGACCTTTTTAAAGTGTTAAAAAGCAAAGATGTCACTTTGAAGACTAAGGTACACCTGACCCAAGGCATGGTATTTTCAATTGCCTCATATGCATGTGAAAGCTAGACAATGAATAAGGAAGACCAAAGAAGAATTGATGCATTTAAATTGTGGTGTTGGTGAAGAATATAGAAAATCCCATGGACTGCCAGAAGAACAAATAAATCTGTCTCAGAAGAAGGAGAGCCAGAATGCTCCTGAGAAGTGAGAATGGCCAGACTTCATCCCATGCACTTTGATCTTGTTGTCAGGAGAGAACAGTCCCTGGACAAGGATGTCATGCTTGGTAAAGTAGAAGGTCTGCAAAAAAGGGGAAGACACTTAATGAGATGAATTGACACAGTGGCTGTGACCATGGGCTCAAGCAGAGCATATATTCCGAGGACGGCACAGGACTGGGCGGTTTCCTTCTATTGTACATGGGTTGTTATGCTTTGGAACCAACTTGATGATACCTAACAATAACAAGTCTTGCTTTGCTCATGACATAGTTTAATGTGATTCAGGCACCAAAATGTGGATGTTACCTGAGGTCTTAGTGATAGATGTTTGGTGATGAGAAGGAGGGTGGGAATGTTCTCATTCTTCTCTGGGGTGGTTAGGCCCAGAGGTTGGAGTCTAGTTTCAGGGTAGTTTTCAGAGACATGGCAACAGACTGCAATGTGCTTATAGTAGCACGGCCTGGAGGGTGAAGGGACATGAAACACTGCTCTCTCAGGGAGTCAAGGAAACAAGGGCTATTGAGCTTGGAAAAGAGATGGTTCAAGGAGGCGTGACTGTTGTCTCTAAACACACAGAGAATCCTCATGGTGAAGAGAATTAGGGGAGTTCTGTGGGATTCCAGAGACCAGACCAGAGCCTGTGGTCTGAAAACCTCCAGAGGCTGAAGTCAGCCCAACAGAAAGATGAGATTTACAAAGGTTTTTTTTTTTTTTTTTTTTCTGGTTATGAAAGTCTCATGGGATCATTGTAGAAATGTATTTGGAAAACACAGATAAGCAGCAAGAAGACAGCGGCCCACCATTCACAACCACTCAGGGGCCATCACCACTGATGTTTGCGTTGGCTTTGTTCCAGCCTCTATGTTCGTGGCCCTCAGCCAGCTCTGCTCACACCCAGCGCACACCTGGAAACACAGCTTTGCTCCTTTTTGTTAATGTTACTGGGTGCCGTAGAGTCCATTCCAACTCATAGCAATCCCATATGACAGAGTAGAACTGCCCTCATAGGGTTTTCTAGGCTGTAACCCTTATGGAAGCAGCAATAAAGTAATCAAATGATGTATTTCATTGGACAAATCTGCCGCCAAAAAATCTCTTTAATGTGTTGAAAAGTGAAGATGTCACTTTGAAGACTAAGGTGCACCTGACCCAAGCCATGGTGTTTTCAATCACCTATATACATGCAAAAGCTGGACAATAAATAAGGAAGACTGAAGAATAATTGATGCCTTTGAATTATGGTGTTGGTGAAGAATATCGAATGTACTGTGGACTTCCAGAAGAATGAACAAATTGTCTTGGAAGAAGTGCAACCAGAATGTACCTTAAAAGCCAGGATGGTGAGACTTCATCTCACATACTTCGGACTTGTTGTCAGAAGGGACCAGTTCCTGGAGCAGGACATCATGCCTGGTAAAGTGGAAGGTCAGCAAAAAAGAGGAAGACCTTCAGCGAGATGGATGGACACAGTGGCTGCGACAATGGGCTCAACATGGCAACAATTGTGAGGATGGTGCAGGACCAAGCAGTGCTTTGTCCTGCTGTACATAGGGGTTGCTGGGAGTCAGAACCAACTTGGCAGTACCTAACAACAACAACAATCTTTATGGGAGCTGATCACCAAATCTTTCTCCCATGGAGTCACTAGGTGAGTTTGACCAGCATTTTGGTTAGAAGCTGAGTGCTTAACTGTTACACTACCAGGGCACCTTTGTTCCTTTTAAACCTTCCTCAAACAACTAACCTAGCACAAGTTCATTAATGAGTGTGCAATGAGAACTTTCTTGAGGGCTTTATGGGAGAGATCAATGTGTAGTTTCATGTCACACTCTACTGGGGAAGAAACCCCTCAGGGCCAACACACAAGTCTATCTCCCCCTCCCTCTTCTAGTTTGCTATCTCCCATGGGAGGGAACGCTCTCTCTCTGCCCCCTCACTCTGACCTATTTGTTCCCCTCTTCCTACTTGATTTTCCCTAGATCTTCAAACCTCATTCCTGCATCATTCATTTTTTCTGTGCATATTTATGTCCGTCCCATCTTATGTAACTAAGCCCCTGTGGGAAACCATAAAACAAGGGGCCCTTCAGATGACAAGACATGCTCTCCTAATTCAGGAGGCAGTTTAGGAGCTGTCTCTTGTCCCTTGAACATGCCTCTTGGGACTGCACATCCCATCTTGAAAATCTTATCAAAGAGTTTCTTCCAGACAAGTAAAATTCTCTCCTCAATTCTCACACCAACTACACAGAGAAAAGGAAAAATGAACCTCATCATGACAGATACATACATCTGTATATATAATTTTTCTTCATTTATAAACATAGCATAATGCTGAAACCACTCTTTTGTAATTTACTTGAAAAAAGTAGATTTTGAAGCAATTTTGAAGAAAATCTTTCCCACCATCAGATCTAGCTCAAGATGGGTGGGACTGACTCAGGAGGTAGTGAGCTCCCAGTCACTGAGGTATCAAGCACCATCAGCAGGACTATTGCCAGAGAGGCTGAAGGGTGGGCAAGAACCCTGAAAAGCAGCCCCTGCACTGAGGGCATGTCTCCGGGTGGTGCAAATGGTTTGTGCTCGGCTACTAACTGAAGTGTTGGTGGTTCAAATCAACCCAGTGGCACCACAGAAGAAAGGCCTGGTGATCTGCTTCCACAAGGTCACAGCCATTGAAACCCTGTGGAGCACAGTTCTGCTCTGACACACGTGGGGGAAAGGGAGGCCCTGTAATGCCTGTGACTGTCAGAAGAGCCCCTTCCCACAACCACAATAGGGGATCTGAACAGAAGCAACTGGACGATGCCTTCTGGGGTGAGCTGTGCCCCCCTCACCTGGTGTCTGCCCCAGGCCTGCTGGGGTAATAGGAAGGAGAGTCAGCAAAGCACAGTCTGACCTGGACCTTTTTCTAGGTGTACATGTTCAAGTGCGTGTGGAGATGCTACAGATTCATAAAGTACCTGAACTCGCCAGAGGAGGGGAGCAGCTCCAAGATACCCCAAAAGGTGAGCCTGGTCAAGTCCCAACTCTACCCCTCACTCACTGTGTGATCTGGGGCGAGTCTCTCCCCTATGGGCCTCAGTTTCTCTGCTTGTAAGATGAAGGTAGGTCCAGAAAAATGTAGAGATCCCTTTTAGCTCTGAGAGTCAACAATGTTATTCATTCATTCATTCATTCATTATTTACTGCCTCAGATTCTTTGCTAGCATTGCATGCAGCCCTGGGAGTGCAGAGAAAATTAACACACCATCTCCATCCTAGTGACATGTACACGACAGAGTAAAGCCAGATGCACAGACCCAGTTACAATTTGGTGTGAAGCACAGGGCCATGGGAGCACAAAGGAGGCACCCTAGGCTCATCTAGGGTGTCAGAAAGGCTTCCTGGAGGAGGCAACACTTGAGCATGGCTTAAATGGTCAATCAGTATAAGTTAACAGGCAAAGAGGAGGGGAGTTCTCCTGGCAGAGAGGATGAGGTTTGCTCAGAAGACTGGATTAGAGAAGTGACAGGAAAAAGTGCAGTTGGTTTGATTTACTTTCATCATTTGTAAAGTGGGGATTGTATTAGTCAGACTTTTGGTTGCAAGTGGCAGAAATACACTCAGTCTGACTTAAGCAAAAATGGGCAGTTAACTAGCTTATGGAGCTTAAAAGTCCAAGATAGGTCCGGTTTTGGGCCTAGCCAAGTTCTGACATCAGAACCTGATCACATCCTCTCTGTCTTTTGACTCCACTTTCCTCAGTGTTGGTGCCATTTTCAAGCCACCCTTTCCTCATGGTTGTAAAATGGCTGCCAAAACCACTAAGTTGACTTCCCATCCTCTTAGCCACCCCACCAGAAAAATAATGTTCCAGGAGTATGTATGGTTGGACTGTCGTTGTTGTTGTTGTTGTTATGTGCCGTCGAGTCGGACCCGACTCATAGCGACCCCTCCTTGGGTTTCCGAGGCGTTATCACTACGGAAGTAGGATTGCCCAACCTTTCTTCCAAGGAGTGCCTGGTGGGTTTGAACCGCCAGCCTTCTGGTTAGCAGTCAAGTGCCTTAGCCACTATGCTACCAGAGCTCCCTAGCTTGCATTATATGCTCATCCTTAAACCAACAGCTATTGCTGCAGAGGTGGAATTCTACTTTAAGTGGCCATACCCAGGTCACGTGACTATATCCCTGGATCTGTGGGATGGGAACAACACCTTTGAAACCACTATTTTCCCAAGGAAAATGAAGTGTTATCCAAACAAGAGGAATTTGAGGCTGACTAGGCAAAAGCAATCATGACCAATACAGGGATGGAAACTGTACTTTATCCCACACATGCAATGCCTGGCACACCATAAGTACTTAATACATGTTAGATATCATCAACAATTCATTTTCCCAGAGGTGAGGGTTGGGTTCCCTGACCCTAGATTGTGATGTGGGTCTTTCTTGCCAGTCCTTAGTCCTTATCACTTTGTTTCTCCCAGGTGGTCCTGCCGTCCTATGAGGAAGCCCTATCTCTGCCAGCCAAGGCCCCAGAGGGGGATCCAGCACCGCCTCCCTACTCGGAGGTGTGATTCCCACCAGGCCCCGGCCCTGGTGCTGGAGGGTGGATCTGCCTCTTAATCTGCTTCTTTGCTTTGGTGGCCCCTGTGGTTGAGTGGACAACCTGGTCGACTTCAGGACAATCTTCTTGAGTCCCCTTCGCTGGCCTGCTCCTCCCACAGGTTCCCGTGAAATGCTCACAATTGGGTCAACCCTTTTGGCTGAATGACTCTGACTCCTTGGATCTTTCAGAAATTCAGTCCAACAACATTGGGCTTATTTTGAGCAGCTCGACACTTGTTTAATCAATGGGTTGTTCTGAATTTGGTGAGCTTGGTTAAGCCGTTGCTAACTTGACCAGTTTAGCCAAACAATTGACAACTCCTAACCATACTTGTCAATTCGGTAAAATAACTAGATTAAACAGCCACTGTATTGTTTTGTATATAGTTATCAGTTCACACAGAACAATTTAGGTGAGTAGTTGTAACTTGTCCTCCCATTAAATACATTATATGTATAGTACATATGTGTTTGTGTGTATGTAAATAATATGTATATACACACATATGTAGAATCATTTTTTTCCAATAGCTTACTTCAATTCAGCCAACCACCAGTCTATTTAGAATAGTGATAAAATTATGTTTAAAAAAATCAATCAAATTAATTCCCAAACCATTTGATCTAATCCAACAATTGGTAGCCCATTCTACTTAATTCAGTAACTCCGAGCCATTGAATAATTGTCATTTCCAATGAAAATTTGGTCAGTTTCTAATCCATCAGACAACACTTAGTTCCAGGAAATCACAGTTGTGTCAATCATTAAACACCCACCTCAGACACCAACCATTAACAATCATTAACAACCAAACAATTGCCTGTTTGGTCACCCTGTGGTCAGTGTAGTCAAATAGCTGTGGGTTCAGTGAAAGGAGGTTGACTCAGTCCCACACAAACCCACCTGCCAGGCCACTGATTGCCACTGATTCAGTCCTAGGCATGTCAGTTCTGCCCAATAACACTGTGGTCAAGCAGAAATTAAGCCCAGAAACCAGCCAAACCTGTTTGTTGGACTAAATCCACATGGTTAGTTCAGTCAAAACAGGCAAACCCTTTGTGGCCACAGACCCTACCACAGGGCCTTGTGTTTGGTACTGGAATTAGGAAGGTTTGGGCCCCAGCATCCCCCTTCTTGCCTACTTCCTGATGGGCCAGGCCCCTGAAGGAGCTGACCCATAGGTGAAGATAGGTCTACAGAGACAGGGTCTCTGGAGTCTTTGAGGGGGTGCAGAGGAAGAGGGCTATGTAAGGGGCTCCCTGCCAATACCTCCTTGTTTAATTGCTTTGTGTGGGACAGGGAAGAAGTTTCAATAAAGCAGCAACAAGCTTTTCTTTGGCTGGTGTGGTTCATGAAATATGATGTAGGCAAGACTGGGGAGCTGTCATCTACCTCTATCATCCCAGTGTGTGCGCGCGTGCACACACACACACACACACATGTGCCATTCCCAGACAATGAGCATCAGGAGGTGACAGTGTTCTTGGTCATGAGTCATGTACCATGCAGTTACCCTGATGTCTCCCAAGTCAGGAGACAAGCACCTACTAGAAGCTAGGCCCTGCACTGGGCACTGGGGATGTCTGTGATGGGTCAGACTTGCCTGTGGTTACCCACAGTCTGGGGTAGAAGAGACAGGTCCATAAACAAGTATAATAACATATGGCCAACTCCATGACAGGCAAAGTCTGGGGGCCATGGGAGCACAGAGGACAGAGGGGCCAACAGAGGCTTCTTGAAGGAGGTCTCACCAAGCTGAGTCTGGAGGATGAGTAGGCAGCTATAAGCAAAGTATGGGAGGATGTTGTAGGCCAAAGGAGTAGGGTGTGTAAGGCATCCATGGAAGTGGGAGGGGAGGGCTGGGTGGGCAGCTCAGTGCGGCTGTAGGTGGGGTAGGGGTGGGGCAGGAGGTTGGGGAATCTCTGGGGCTGGATCACCAAGGGCGTTGCATACACTGGGGTTCTTGGCTGCTTGGCTAACATCTGCCAAAGAAGTGATTTTAGGAATGGGATGATTATGAGAAAAAGAAATCTTAGAGAATCAAGTTTATGGGGTGATGGTAAGGGGGAAGGTGGTGGTGATGTTTCTTGGCTCACATAAATGAAAAGTCCAGGAACTTTCAAGCATGGTTGGATCCAGGGCTCAAATGTTATCAGTCATCTCTCTCTCTCTTTGTCTCTTTCTGCATTTCTCGACTTTTCCCCTGAGGTTGCTACTAAGCAGCTGAGGGCCTGCTGGAGAGTGCAGTCAGCAGAGAGCCAAGGGCAGCATGAATTAAGCTCTGGCACCAGTGTCAAAAGAGACCTAGCAGTGCCTTGAATGCCATACCCAGGAGCATGGACTCTATCCTTGGCCAGGGGGAGCCTTTGAAGGGTTTTAGACAGGTGAATGAAGAGGCCAGGTTTGTGTTTTAGGAAGGAAGAGTCTAGAGGCAGGAACTCATTAGAAGGCTGGTGCTGTTGTCCTGTGGGGAAAGAGAGGAGGAGATTGATTTGAGAAATGCTGTCAACCTTCTGGTGTTACTGACTTTTCTTGGGGATGGCAGGTTTCTTCACAGACTGTGTTTGGTCTTTATTGAATCTTCAAGCAATTGATTAAAGGTGAATCTAACAGAGATAGAAAGATGTCTCTCACATCTTCCATTCACATATGAGGGATCAAGGCCCAGAGATATTGAGTGACTTTCGGGAGGTCACACAGCAGTCAGAGATTAAACAAAATGCCTTTTTGTATACTCTAAGTGGGGACTGTTGAGAGAGGATATGTCTTCAGGATGGGCGAACCCTTGATTCTTGTGAAGATCCATATGAGGAGGGCCCCCACCCCACTGAGAGGGTCTCCAACAAGAGAAGATTAGAAGTAGAGGTCATGGGAGGATGAGGATCATGTCACCACCACCAAGGGGGACCAAGGAGACCCTGAACGTGCTAATGTGACTCCCTGTCCTTCTCTCCTTTCATGCCTGGCCTGGAGTTGAGAAACAGGCTGAGATGTATAGGGGGATTGTGCCCTGTGGCCAGGCCAGTTAGGAGGGGCTGCCGAGGAGCAGGAAATAGTTGGGTTTGGAGAAGTCTTCGTGGCTGGGCCAACCCAAGCGGCTGAGATCTGCTGGGCAGCCTCTTTGAGGCCCTATCAATGCCTCATTTGAGGCTCAGACAGGGGTCCTTTGACAGGGGCTGGACAGTTTGGACCCACTAAGAGGGGAACTGTCTTAGTTGGGTGCCTGAAAGTAGCTGGGCCCAGGAAAAAGGGAGCTGTGCAGGGCTGGGTGGGGTGTGGGTGTGGGTGTGGGTGTGGGTTGGGTCATTCGAGCTCTCCAAGAGGGAAGGAAGTTGACAAAATCAGACCTGAGGTCGCTGAGTTGAGAACCTCTTGCTTCTTGGGGTCTGTGATGGTAGCAGGAATGGCCTTGTAAATGAACAGAGACTTCAGTGTGTCTGTTCCCAGTGTTCTTCTGAAGGCCCCATATGACAGGGCTTGTGTGTGGTTATTCTTGAGGTCAGAGAGGAAAGACACTGGCTCGAGTCACCCCTTGATTGAGTGGTGGAGCTGGGGTTCCACTCCCATAGGCCTGACTCGAGCCTCAGTATATCCTTCTGTCCTTTCTGACCAGCCTTACCCCTGTTCTTGGGATCCTCTGCTTCCTGAAATCCACATTTCACTCTAGTCCCCAGCTTTGGGTTGGCATATCAAGGGAGGTCTTGGGGGCAGCAGGAAGCTTTTAGGTGCTACAGGCCTCTGGAGTTGGTCACAGAGCAGAAGGGACTTTGGAGGCTGTTGGTTCCATCTGTTCTAGGTGGGACCTCCTGGTATAGGCCATCTCACCTCGGCTTGTGCACCCCTACTGTTCTGGTTCCCTAGTGCCACTCTGACAGGAATATACCACAAATGGGATGGCTTGAACAAGCAGGAGTTTATTCTCTTACAGTTCAGGAGGCTAGAAGTCCGAGTTCCAAGTGCCAGACTCTAAGGGCTGTGTGAAATCCCCTTGACCTTGGGCTTCAGCTCTGCCTCTTATTCCCGGTGCACTGAAGCTAGAGGCATCTCTTAACTCAGGCAGGTACTGGCTGCTGAGGTTAATAAGCCCAAGGTTGACAAATAAAATGGCACAGTCCCAATGTTACCAAACCACATGGCATGCCATTAATTCAAGTCCATTGAAAGTCGCAAGGTTGGCAGAGCATAGCAGGCTGCTGAACAACAACACAGCACAGCTACATGCAGGGTTCAAGTGTGCCATAAGCTTGATACCATTCCCAAAGCTGTTTCTTATATATTGGAAGCAGACCACATACCCAAAGCAGCTTCTCAGCTGCTCCAGTAGATTCTACCATGGAGTTAATTACCAATCTCACCATGGGGAATAACTAAATCCAGCTGCCCAGCCACTCAATCAGGCCCAGCCAAGTTGACACACAAACATAACCACCACCCCTACTAATAGGGAACTTTTCCCTTTCAAGGCGATCCTTCCATCCTAGGATAACTCTGATGGTCAACAAATATCTCTTCCTCCTACTGAGCTGAGAGTTTCTTTTTAAAAAAAAAAAAAAATGGATTTTAACCTCTGGCTTCAAGGGCTCCACATCTACACCCTGTGCCCCATGGTGGCCTCTTGAAGAGGTGAAGGCAGCCTTCCCAAACCCAGGCTTACACTTACACAGAACACCATCTCCATTGTGTGTCCCCTTGTATTGCCCCCCTGACAAGTTCTTTGGCTTTTAGTTAGTTATATTGACATTTTCGACCTCTGACTGGATCTTCATTCATTCACATTCATTTCTGGTGGTATAGTGCCTAAGGCATTTGACTGCTAACCAGAAGGCTGGCGGTTCAAACCCACCAGCCACTCCTCAGAAGGAAGGTTGGGCAATCTACTTCTGTAGTGATACCACCTTGGAAACCCAAGGAGGGGTCACTATGAGTTGGGTCTGACTCTACGGCAATGAGTTTGGGTTTTTAGTTCATTAACTGTGTGTCAGGCAGTGTTGCTGGGGACATAGAGATGAACAAGGCTCTGCCTGCCCCTGACTTCATGGGGAGCCCAGTCTGGCAAGAGAAACAGGAGCAGTTGGAACATGATATGACCAGGGCTAAGATG